AATAAACACTATGATAAAAAAAAAATAAAAATAAAAAGATAATTAAAATGAGTGAGTGTGCCAGCACCTTTTCGACATCGCCATCTTTGTCGATTTTTAATTATTTTTTGGCATTGACAAATGCCCTGAAAATCTACAGATATGTAGTTTACATAATCAATAACTTATCAAAAAGTTTTCAAAAAATAATTAAATTGTTTAGGCCCCGAAATAAAGTGAAAACAAAAAGTGAAAAGTGAAAAAAAACAACATAGTGAGTGGGCGAGCACGTTTTGACACCCCCATCTTTGACGATTTTTAATGTTTTTTTTGGCCTAGCAGAATGGCTTCAAAATTTATAGGTGTGTAGGTTACATCATAGAGAACTCACACAAAACAATTTAGGAAAAAAAACTTATTTTTAGACCCCGAAATATTTTTTGGCGGGGGCCGAACCTGGAGGTGTTCGGCACCCGAACGGGACCGCGAACGCCCGAACGTTCGGGGCCAGCCCGAGGCCCTCCGAACGTTCGATCAGGTAACCCTGAATATATATATATACATTTCACTCTTCTGCGTTTTTCCATAGGACCCCAAAACCGGGCTCATTTTTTTTTGAGAGAGAGTTGGCTGTCAAGGGGGTAAGGTGGGTATAAATTGGTTTTAAAGGGGCTAAAGGGGTTTGCAGGGGGGTGCCTTAGTGTGAGTCTATGAATTTTTTTTTTAATCTCTGATTCTGTGAGGAATTCTGATATAACCCTCAGCCAAAAGTCCTTTGTATTGCAATTCTACACAACATTTGTTTTTCTAGAATTTTTTTTTTTTTTTCCTTCTTTTGTTCTTGCGCTCGGACTGCCCGGGACCCTGTCGGGAGGTCATGCCCGGTCGGGAACCCGGGCGTGTATCCGGGCATAAGTTGGGTGCCCAGGCGCCCAGAAAAAAAAACTAGTATTTTATTAAATAAATATTATATGTATATAGGTTATCAACGATGCGGCCTCGGTACCCAAGGCTAGCACGGGACAACCAGTCCGACAATTGGCTTGGGTTGGGTCGGGTCTCAGATTCTGTTTCACAGGGGGAAAAAACAAAAGAAGTCGTGCATATATCAACAATTCGAACAAGTATTGATTCAGGGACATTTTCAAAACTTTCTCAGGAAATTGTAAATTATATATATATAGGACGATATATATATGTATATATATACATTCTATTTGACGATATATACATGCAGGGTCACCAGCCCGTATGTACGGAGGTCCCCGGGCCGACTTCCGTACGTACGGGCGCTCGGGGTCCTTTACGGGGTCCGAACACGACGGCGTTCGGCCCCCGCCAAAAATTATTTCGGGACCTAAAAATAAGTTTTGTTCTTAATTTTTTTTTTGAGTTCTCTATGATGTGAGGTACATGCCTATAAATTTTGAAGTCATTTGGCTAAGCCAAACAAAAATTTAAAATCGTCAACGATGAGGGTGTCAAAACGTGCTCGCCCACTATTTTGTTTTTTTTTACTTTTTACTTTTTGTATTCACTTTATTGCGATGCGTAAATAATTTTATTATTTTTTGAAACTTTTTTGATGCGTTTTATGTTATGTGAAGTACACATCTTTAAATTTTCAGGGTAGTTGGATTTGCCAAAAAAAAATGAAAAATCAACGAAGATGGCGGTGTTAAAAACGTTCTTTCGCAATCACTAATTTTATTTCTCTTGTTATTTTATCTTATTTTTATTATTAGTTTTATTTTTTGTATTTTATTTTTATTTTTAAATGGGTAAGGAATTTGGATGTAATGCTCAAACAAATCTTGTTTATTTTATTTTTTTACAGCTTTTTTTTTTTTTTTTTTTTTTTTTTTTTTTTTTATTTTTGTATTGCATTAATCCAGTCCGTCCTAACGCATCCCCAAGGGGTTCCGTACATCTAGACATTCGGCCCGTCCGGAATACCGGTTACCCTGTATACATGTATATTTATATGACACCTTTGGAAAGTCCTTCATCCCCTCATCTTCATCCTTTTAAAACTTATATGAATTAATATATATATATGTATATATGTATATATATTAGATTTTAGTCTCTTTAGGTAGGTGCAGAATCGCCCCACCATCGAAAAAAAAAAAATCTTCATCGTGTATTGACCCAACAGACTCACAGGGAGGGTCCAAGTTGCAGTGGCCCGGCTACATGGCCGACCAGCTATGCCTGGGCACATTTGGTACCCTAGATATGTGTATCTATTTATGCTTTAGTCTGTATATGTTTTTTTAACGGCTTATTCGATTGTTTTTAATTATACATTGGGCTACGAACTGCGCTGCCTAAACACCGTAGTTGCCCTGCCAAACTGACAAACGAAAGTGTTTGCAAAAGGGTTTTTTTTTTGCTTCAGAGTCATGACCTCATTGAGCGGGGAACCTCCAGTATGTAGGCGCAAAAGTGGTCCATATGACGTCGTTACACATCACAGTTGTTACTGTGCGAACTGAACTTTCGTTTGTGGTGAAATATTGGTTATCGTCTTTCTCCATGAGCGTTTGTTGTGTGTTTGTGGAACGTTTATCGAGAGCATAGATTGACTCGTTGCACTATCGTAACGAAGACACTGTATACAAATTTTTATATTATTTTTTATCTTGTTTGCAAAACATTTTCGAGTTCACGAATCTTGAAAAGTAACTTTATTAATTAAAGGTCATGTCAATAAGTGGCTTAGTTGTTGCAAAATGAATGTTGGAAGTTCATTTATGAATTACGACTCAATATCCATAATGTGAGTTAAATTGAGGACAGCGTCTCATGATGGGTAAACATATATCGATCAAGTTATCACATCATTTGCCTTACAAAGTGATGAGTATATTTTTGTATTCGACTCTTTATCATTCGCAAAGTTGAAGTATAGAAAAAAAGTATTACATAACTCATCCTTACATTTACGAAATCATAAGTAAATTTTTGTGTTGACCATTTATGATTTGCAAAGTTGAAGTGTACAAAAGAAGTATTAGATAAATATTTTTAATAGCATTTATAACTTATGTGTTAATTATTCAAATATAGTTTTTTACTATTAATCCTTATGTTTGGATCAATATACTTGGTCATTGTACGGTTGGGTCGCGCAGGAAAACAGGGTGACGCGAATGGCCCGACTGGTAGCCTAGGTTATTATAATATTTTTATTACGAAGTAATCATTAAACTTTTATATCGGTCCTTTCTCATTTGAAAAACATTTGCGAATTAACGAATTTGAAAAGTAAATTTATCAACTAAGGGTGATGTTAACAAGGGATTTAGTTGTTGCAAAATAAATGTTGGGAGTTCATTTTCAAATTATGACTAGATATCTAGAATGTGAGTTCAATTGAGGACAGAGCCTTAGGATGGGTAAGCATATCCGGGTTGAGTCCTCGCATCCTTCTTCTTACAAAATCATGAGTATATTTTTGTATTGACTCTTTATAAGTAAACTTCTGTATTGACAATTTTTAAATTGCAAAGTTGATGTATGCAAAAAAAAAATATATGCATTTTTCTTTCAATATTATTTTTAGCTTATGTGCTAAATATTCAAACAAAAATATTTACTATTAATCTTTATGTTGAGATCTATGTAATGTAGATGAGTATTTTTGACGTGATTGTTTTAATGTTTATTTCCATATGATTGGTATAATTGTTATGTTCATCAGGGTTGTCGGCGTTCGGGACGGGCCGAACGCCCGAGCCGGAACGTTCGGCACTCCCTCTCGGTGCGTTCCGCCGTTCGGCCGAATGTGGACCCCCCCCCCCCCCCGAAAAAAAAAAAAAATAGAACTTCTAAAAAAAAAAAATGTTATGCAGAAGAATAAACTAAATAACATTTGCCCCAAAGTTATATCTAAATTTTTTACCAAATTTGAAAGAAAAATCAAATACTTGAAAAAAAAAAAACAAAAAAAAAACGAGAATGAAATTATTGAATGGGCGAGCACGTTTTTTACACCACCATTTTCGATAATTTTTCTTTTTTTTTTTGTTGTGACAAATGCCATGAAAATTTATGTATTGTATCTAACATAATAGAGAATCTACAAATGAAGTTTGAAAAAATAATAATTTTTTCATTCCCCGAAATAAAAAAAAAACAAAAAGTGAAAAGAAAAAAAAAAACTACGTTATTAGTTGTCCGATTGGGAGACGTCTCCCTCGGACGTCTCCGGGAGACGGTCGAGGGGGAGTTGTCCGGAAAATCGAACGACTTTTTTGCCATGTGGGAAAAAAAAAATAAAAAATTTGGGTGGTCTGCGCACTGCTAGGGAACCACCCCCCAAAAAATTAGGGTCATTCCGAACAAAAACAGAAAAAAAATTAGAAACAGGCTTTGGGGTGTGTGTGGGGGTGGGGTTGATTGATTGATTGATTGAGAAAAAAACAGGGAGGGCCGGCGGAGTGATCGGGTCGCCAATCACTTTGGCCCCCTCCCACTCCTCCTCCTCCTCCTCCTCCTCCTCCTCCTCCTCCTCCACCATCGTCGGGGCCGCTTCCTACTCATTTTCCTCCGGCGGAGTGATCGGGTTGCCAATCACTTCAGCCCCCTCCCACTCCTCCTCCTCCTACACCATCGTCGGGGCCGCCTCCTACTCATTCTCCTCCCTATCCTCGACATCTCTCCTTCTCCACCTCCTCCCCCGCTGCCACCGCCGCCGCCGCTGCCTCTTCTTCCTTCACCCCCGTCGAGGCCTCCTCCTCCTCCTCCTCCTTCGTCGTCGTCCTCCTCTTCGTCTTCCTCCTCGTCCCCGCCAATCGTTGTTCGCCTACTCGTCGTTCTCCTCCCCATCCTCACCGAATCGATAACGGTCTCCTCCTCCCCCGCTTTTTTTTTTTTTTTTTTTTTCCGATCAATCAATCAATCAATCGAAGATCCCATCGAATCGATTGATTCGATAGGATCTTGACATCAAATCAATCGATTCCATGGGATCTTCCATTGATCGATTGATCGATTGATCGATTGATCGATTGATCGATTGCTTGATTGATTGATTGGAAAAAAAGCGGGGAGGGCCAGCGGAGTGATCGGGTGGCCAATCATTTCAGCCCCCTCCCACTCCTCCTTCTCCTCCTCCTCCTCCACCATCATCGGGGTCTCCTCCTACTCCTCATTCTCCTCCCCATCCTCGTCATCTCTCCTCCACCTCCTCCCCCGTTGCCACCGCCGCCGCCGTTGCCTCTTTGCCCTGCACTTCCTACTCCTCGTCCTCCTCTTCTTCTTCTCCTTCTTTCTCCTCCTCCTCCTCCTCTGCCTCTTCTTCTTCTTCCTCCTCCTCCTTCGTCTTGGCCTCCTCCTCCTCCACCTCCTCCTCCTCCCCCATCGTCGGGCCCTCCTCTTCTTCCTTCTCCTCTTTTTCCTCCTCCTCTTCTTCCTCATCCTCTTCCCACTCCTTCTCCTCTTCTTCTTCCTCCTCTAAGTTCTCTCCCTCCTCCATTGTCATGACCTCCTCCTTCTCCACCTCTTCTTCCTCCTCCTCCGCCTCCTCCTCCGCCTCCTCCTCCTCCTCTCCCCCCTCGTCCTCCATCGTCGGCGCCTCCTTCTCCTCCTCCTCCTCCTCCTCCTTCACCGTCCTCCTCCTCTGTCTTCCTCCTCGTCCTTCTCCATCGCAACGGCCTCCTCCTCCCCATTGCTCGTCGAGTTCGCCAATGGCACCACCGAACTCCGGCGACTGCGCGCTGCGCGCAGGCCAAGACGCGCGGGGGAGAACGTCAGTGCCCCCAATTTCGAATTTGAAAATAGCCCAATTTGGGTCGTCGATCTCGCAGATCTTACGGCCTAGATTAGTTTTTTTTGTTTTTCGGTTTTGGAGGCCCTACCGACCTCCAACAATGCTTCCCGTCGGCGCCCCGGCTTCTCCTGTCCCCACAGTCCACCCCTGCGCCGTCCAAGTCCGTGTCCTAGACCCCCCTCTATTTATTTTTTTGCTCGGACATAGTGCCCCTGGCGGACGGCCGACCAGTTGTCCGATTGAACAGTCCCGAACGGTCAGGGGGTCCCGAACGTCCGATCAAGTAACCTAAAAAAAAAACAAATTAGCGAGTGGGCAAATAAGTTTTGACACCACCATCTTTGAGGATTTTTCATTTTGTTTTGGTTAAACAGAACGGATTCAAAATTAAGAGGGAGACAGTTGACATCACAAAGAACTCACAAAAACAAATTCAGAAAAAAAAAAAAAATATTTAGATGCCAAAATATTTGTTTGCAGGGTCCAAACCCCTTTAGGTTCGGGCCCAGTACGGGGACCCGAACACCCGAATGTTCGGGGGTCGACTTAGGGGTCTCCATACATTCGGCCTGGCAACCCTGCGGTTTATTATTTTTTAACAGGTTCTTGTTCAAGTTCATCTTTCTTCTTTAATATTTGTAATACCTCCACATAAGCAGAAAGGTTCACAATTTTTACCTAAATTTAAAGCGGTTCAAAACAATTATTTATCCATCCCATAAATTAAGTTCGTTAGGTAATTTTTCGAAAACTTTATCAAATTTGATGATAGACCGACTTTCATATTGTTTGCGTATTTAGTGAAAATGTTCACATATTTTATTAACATGAATTTCGTACAGTTTTTGCTAGTTATTATCGATTTCATACAAAAATTTATATTTGTCATTATCACTTCATACACACGCTAGTTGGAGAGTCGCACTCTTACTCATTGGCTTGCCTTTTATGTGTTAAAAAAATAAACTTAAGATACATATGACCATTTGTTTTACAACCTTACGCAAACAAGTATAGCTTGGACCCAAATTTTAATTTTTAATTTTTAATTTCGTAAAAATACGTATTTTTTACTCTCAGACAAAATATTTGTTTTATTATCTTGCATAACATATTTTTTCATCTTTTATTTTATGACGAACAACTTAACTCGGTCCTTGCCTAATTGAGTAGCCCAGGGTGGTTGAATTACTGGATGACGACCTACATAGAAAATAATTTTTAAATCAAAACTTAACGAAAATAATAATATTTGAGAGAGTGAGTATTCTACTTTGATTATCGACTGTAGTACGTCGAACCAAATACTCCTACGATAGGGGATAATTTGCATGAGGTAGTTTGCACATAATTTCCTTATATAAAACATATTCAGTTTAAATTTATACTCTCATGCATGACAAAGTTTT